GGCTACTCAAGGTAGCAAAGAGACTTCATTAACCATTAATTATTGCAACTTGTCACTTTCCATCAGAAATACTAATTCTTTGCTTGTGCTTTCATGCTGTTTTTATACCCAAGTAATAAGTATGCAATTTATGCAATGACAAAAGTAACATTATGCCCATAGCACGTGGGTATAAACTGCTATGCAAGTTGGAAGAACTAGAGAAGTGCGAGTTATTTCAATTGCCACCGTCCTGACCAAATTGTTGGGCCGCATAAACAGCACTGAGTCAGTCACAAATTAAAGTGATGCTCTTTCCTCCAAGTTTTTCCTTCCAGCACATTTTATCTGGTGGTCCTCCATCCAGCTACTTGCTATGTGCACACACCTCTATCACATGACATCAGACAGAGCAATGGCGTATGTGGTAAATTATACAATATATATATATATATAGCGAAAACGGTGCAGCTTTATTTGGAAAAACACATGCTTCTTTAATATTCTACGCGACATTTGCACAGGAACTAACGTCAGTTCCCAGTCTGACAAATCGTTCATGGATTTCAAATGGAGTTTAGCTGTCTTAATTGGTGATCAAGAAATGAAGTGGTAGTGTCAGTTATTTTACACTATTGCTTGTAAAAAGTTACTGTGAAATAGAATGAAATTTCTTCCATTATGCAGGTAAGCCAGTGGAGGAATAAAAAGGCTATTTGCTGTAGTTTCACATACAAGGGTTAAATCTGATAGCGAAATTGAGCGCAGAAGCAGCTTGTGTTAGAAAGTCATGGTTAGAAACAAGGCTTTATGATATGACTAATGGCCTATATTCCACATGCTGTGATTAATACCCAATGATAGATGAAATCTCAGTGAAGTCAACTACACTGCTCAAAAGAATATGGATTATTTGCTCGAGTTACTTCTGTAAGTCTGGATCAAATATATATTTTTAGTTGACTTTACACAGCAGCTATGGAATTTAAAAAGATCCCCAAATTCATGCATTTTTTTCTGTATTTTTTTCTGATTTTAAAAGCTCACAGAACTTTATGAAAATGTACATTCCTCTAAAAACAGTCCATGACTAGATTAATGATTACCTATGTTCTCACTGAAATATAGTAAAATGTTTAAAACATTCAAATTGCATGTAAAAGTATATGCTACTATTTGCACTTAAATGATGTAACCAAAACATTTCTAATAGTTGTCTATTATATGTCACAGAACACATTATAAGCATGGCCAGTATAATATACATTAAGATAATATATTGTATGTGGGACTTCAATACCCAGTAATGATTATATTGGAATAATCTTAATTTTTAATGCTATCAAAACATTATGGCACTTTGGTGATGTTATCATATTGGTTGAGTTATAATAAATATAAATTATTCAGGTGTTTATATTGATTATGTTTGCACAGACCTGATGATCATTATTTATGTATTAATGAATTTATTTTCTATATTCTAAATACATTAATAGTAAGTCAGTTTACTGCTGTTAGAAAATCATTATATTTTAAAAATGGAGTAGATTTACTGGGTCAGATTTATTCCTGGTATTACTCCATTAAGAAAGCTGTATACCTCTTCTGATTATTAGTAACTGTTAGGTAAGGTCTAGGATATAGGATGTGCTGTTTGCATTTTGAAACGTGGAGTCTACTTTTAGATGTTTTTGTTTGTAGTTGACCGACAGGAGGCAGCACAAGATCTACTTTAATTAAAACAGAATTAAACCAGGGATATATTTGACAATATTTGTATCTGAATGTTATGCTCAGTTTATTTCTTTTTTTCCCTTTCAACATCCAATACAGCATAGAGATCAGTAACATTTTGCTAATGCCTGGGCTCTGCTGATATGTGGAAAGTGCGATACTGTATGTTTGCTGAAATGTTCATTCTTCTGTGAAATAAAGCACTGAGCAACTGAATCCTTCTCAGGTCTGTTTCTGTTGTTGTTGTGTTTTTTTCTTTTTCTTTTTTTTGTTGTTTTCCACTGAGTTTCAAAATACAGAGAATCAACAATGTTTCTAATGAGGTTGACAATTAAAGTATGTTTTTGAATATTAGGTTGACACATAGTAGAATATTTTGAATATTAGGCTGTGACCAAGAGCGCAGTTAGCAGGCATAAAAACTGCAGTGAGAGGGTTTTGTTGTTGTTGTTTGTTTGTTTGTTTTTTAATTATCCTTGCACTTCATATATCATTATATCGTTTGTTTATCAGTTTGCATCTACCAAGCCAAACTGATTGTCTGCTGGAAAGCTTTAAGATTTATTGACTGCGAAGTACTTATTTAGCTTGGTATATTTTCATTGGACGCAAATAGATCACATTGGTATGTAGCATTTTTAACAGTTTAAGTATTGCAAATGATTAGGTATTTATTTTCACTGAAATGGGCTTCCATACTACTTTATTTTGCTTAAAATTGCTTTAAATAAAAGGGTATAAGCAACTTTAAAATTCAGGTGCAACACGTGCAGCAATAGCATTAATACAAAATGGGGGAACCCTGGGTTGTCTTATATTCTTCCAGAACTTAAAATTTAGCAACCTTCAAACCACTGTGTAGAGAAATTAGAGTTACAGCAATAAAAATTGATACTCCAATCTCCCAAGGCCTTTGCCCCACAACTAGCAAAAGGCATGTACAAGGCACTCTTGACAGTGTTCACAATGCTAAAAGCTTATATTGAACAATGAATTTGCAGACCAAATTTGAGAGATGTAGTTATGTAACCCTGTGCACGATCAGAAGAAAACTGTGTACGTATGTTTGACAGATACAGAAACTTTTAACTCACCTTGGACTTGTACAGTTTGTATGTGAAACAGACTGTACGATACGGCTTTTCTTACTGTGATCAAAAGCAGGGAACCAGAGTCTGTACATAATGAAGTTTATAAAAATGAACTACATGTGGAGTTGGTGACTACAAAGCCAGAAAGAAAGCAGACACCGGGCAGAGCTGCAGCCCACAACAAGCCAGTCTGGCACAAACCCAGGCTGGCTTCAGGTGCTGAATGATTCTGGGGCAGACTGGTTCTGTGCTACAGTTCATAACCAAAAGTTTCTGCTTATTTGGAAGATTAATTTTCTGCATATTACAGAACTACAACAGACTTGTAGATGTTTGTCAAATTATGACAATCGCAATCTATGAGATGATTTGTCGCAATTGCCAGCAACATACAAAACAACATAGAGATTCTATGATTATAATTGTATTTTTCTTAGGCTTCAGTGAACTACATGTAAATTCAAGAGAGTTCATGTGAATGAAGGAGCTCTAAGAACTTTTTGGTTGAGGAAGATGGTATATACCAATATTTTTTTCACCTTTGATTAATAGTTCTGTAATAGTGGAATAACAATGGGGAAAAAGGAGATCCATTTAAAATTATGAGCACAGCTACCATATGAAAAAGTATGCTTCTTAGCTCAAATTATTTTACTAGGCAGTAATCATGTTTAGTGTTTTTGTGCTTCACAATGAAAGAGGGGTACTTAATGAGTTATAATTAGCTGTAATTATTGTTGCAGATTGGCAGAGGTTCAGACTGGTAATGAATTCCACTCTCTTTCCACCTATTACACCTGAATTTATGTTGAACAAGTTTACAAGATCTTTAGTGCTTGCTTGCATCTTACTTCTGAGCATTGTCAAAATAAAATAGCATAAATTAAAGCCTAGGTGATGCTTGGGATTTGTAATAATACCGTAATATGCAGATGTAATATATTGCCAATAACATGGCATGGTTTCATTACCCTACTTCACTATTTTCCTTCTTAAAATTTTATGGTATTCTGTACACAATGGGTAAGCATAGCAGCAAAACTATCATTTTCTGGAGGCTGACAGAACTTTGTAGTGTTTCTGTGCTTGGTTTGTATGAATATTTCAGGAACACCACTGCCAGAATTGTGGGCTGAAAGTGTAAAATGGCAACACAAAGTGAGGGTTTCACCACCAGAGCAACGATCCCCAGAAGCCGTATGAACCAGGTGATACATAATGAAGCTGTATGAACCAAGTGATAAATAATAAGTTTATTTCTCAGCCCCCTGCCGCGCAGCCTAGCACAGGCCGCGTTACCATGGTGATGGAGCGCAGCGAGAGCTAGGCCCCGCCCCCTGCTCCCGGCCCCGCCCTCCGCCTCATTGACCCGGCCAGAAACGCGCCGCCGGAAGCTCATTGAAGAAGAGGCGGGCCTTACCAGATCATAGCCAATCGCCACAAAGCATCCTCAAGACAAGCAGCGGTTGCAACCAATGGCCGCCCGCGGGCTGCGCGCTGCGCCGGCTCCGCGGGGAGAGCTGTACAGCGCCCAGCGCGTACCCGGGGCGCCTCGGCGCGGCTGGAGGGAAGGGGGGCGGGGCAAAAACGAAGCGATGTTCCTAGCCCGCCAATAGGCGCGCGGGACGGGCTGACAGGCACGCGGCTCGCCCAATGGACGGGCGGCGGGCGTTAAAGGACCGGCGGCGCGGCGGGGCGAGGTGGGTGCAGGTGAGCGGCGCGCGGGGCTCCCCGGGGAGCGGGGCGGGCGCCTCTGAGGGGCCGCCGTGAGGGGCACGGGCCCGGGCCGCTTTTGTTGCAGCCTCCGGAGGGGCTGCCGGCGGGGGAGGCCTTCCCGGCGCGGCTCCGCGCCCCCTGCCCCGTGGGGAGGGGGCTGCGGGCCCGGCGGCCTCCCTCAGGGCCGGCCTCCGGCGCTCCGCCAGGCGCTCGCCACACGAACGCGGCTCCTCACGGCCCCAGGGAGGGGGCAGGGATCGCGCCTCGGGGCTTCCAGAAAGCCCCGGGCTTCATCATCGCGTGTAGAGCCTCCGAGGAGCTCGAAATTTTAAAATTTAAAAAAAAAAAAAAAAAAAAAAAAAGAAATTGGTTCCAGGGTTCCTTCATTTAAAACTTTTTTCTTCAGCCTTCACCTCTGAAAGTTGCAAAAGAAAAAAGCCGAACTATCTAGGTATAATAATAATAATTAAAATGAATGTCAGGTGTATTCTAGAGGGTAATTAAAGCTTAATGCTAGCACTAGGCCTTCAGCCACGGTGACTGTATGGGGTTTGGGAGTTGTTTGGCCAATTCTGGCTGTGGGCTTTTTGTTGTGGCTTTAAACGCCCCATTTCAGCATGTGAGCGAAGGAAACAAAAAGGCAGAATGTGGGTGCCTCTGTCGTTCTGCACTCCTGCAGTTATTACTGGTCTGTGTATTTATGTTCTGTTCGCTTTTGTAATACCTGTTTCATTTCAACACTGACGAGTAGTTTCATTTTCTTTGGTCCCGATATGAGGACCGTCTTAACCTTTTCTTGCTTCTGCCTGACAGGACTGCATCAAACTCACAGCATCATGCTGCTGTCTTACCTGGGAGCCCTTTGACAGCTTTCTGTTCTCTCACGATCAACAGCGTTTCTGTTTCTCTGGCCAGTATGTTGCGTTTCTACCCAAAAGGTGCAAATATACAGACAGAATTTTTCATTTGTAGCGAGCCTCGTGCCATGTGATGGGGTGCATGACTAGTCACATAAGAGACTGTTTGTATCCTGTTACTTCCCAGAGATTTCTCTGTCACATAACTGGACTTTTTTCACGTCTGCTCTTATCTCCACATCCTTTTTCTTTGGAAAAAACTGTAATATTTTTCCATGTAGAATTATTGCTGAATGTATGCATTTCCATGTTTCAGACTTGTTATGTGTTCTTGCCCCTTAAATACTTTGAGCATGTAACCGTTAATTTTCCAGAATTATAAACTAAGACCCTGGGCACCATCTAGCAATATCAGAAAGCAGAATATTACAGACCCCAGCCTCAGCTAAGTTAATATTTCTTTTTATTCAATATGTCAGAAAGGTAAATAGTCCCCAGTAGAGTTGATCCAAATCTGGACGTTAATATAATGTTAAGACAATACACTAACACCACTTGAATTAATAGGAAAATAAACATCTTTAATAAGGCAATATGCTTTCAGAAAGGAAAGAGAAAAGGTAAGATGTGCTTATCGATTAGTCATGAGTTTTAAAACAGGTAGGCTTTGTAGTTGCTTTCAGTAGCTTCTCCCTTTCTATAGCAAAAAAAAAAAAAAAGTCTTAAGGAAAACTACATAGTAAGGGATTATTATATCAGAAGTTCTCAAGAATGGAAGGGGAGACTGGGCAGGTGATGCAGAGCACCTGGGTGAGCAGCAGTGAAACTGACCTGCAGAGTAGCCTGACCTTTGTTTTTTAACTCAACCTGACCTGGAGCTAAGAGGAAAACTGAGTTTGTATCTTCCTTATTCATGTAGAATTATATTTAGAAGATAACAAGGATGGCAAAATTGATTTGAAACACCCCAAGTGATTGTGCCTACTTTCCCCTGCCATGCTAGCACTGAGAAATTTAGGAAGGTCCAGGGTTAAAAAGAACATAAGTTTTTGAAATCCTGTGATTCCCAATTACTGGAATGACCAGAACCTTGTTGATCCCAGCTGGGACTAAGTAAAGGACTTAGCTGGTGCTTGCTTTGAGAGGGAAAACAACTTTGATTTGGCAAGAGTCTAATATTTACGTTTAAAAAAAAAAAAAAAAGACAGTTGAGTAGTACTGTAAGAGTTTGATTTACCCAGTACTTTGGAAAGTCTGACCCATTGTCCAATAGCTAATGAAGTACTTGGATGTTTGCTTAGAATCAAGCATCTGAAATTCTGCTAAGTTCAGTAAACCTAAGTAGGGTTTGACCTTAAACAAAGGTTCAGTGTCTTGGTAGTGAAAACTCAGAGAAACTGTCTGCTATAAGACCTCTGTGTAATACTCCTTACCTGGGAAAACAGGCAGACAGGCACACACACACACACATGCGCACATGCACAGTTTCTGAAGTAAACATGAAGTACCTGGCAACAAGAGTTTGGCTCAATCTATTTATTTGTCAATCCAGAATACTTGTTGTATAAACAGTGAAACCTCTAAAAGTATTCTTAATTCTTTCTGTGTATTGGCAACTTTTCTGAAGAACTTACCTGCTGAATGGCTTTTTAAACTTTTTTTTTGTTTAATCAACTGAACAAAAAATAGCACTTTACACAAAATAAACTTAAGAATTTGATAGATAGGTCAAGAAATTCAATTGCCGTAATAACAGAAAAGTACTAACATTGCAATTTGAGTTTGAAAAGCACAGTAAGTACCAAATAAATTGACTTACTGCTAGACACAAGTAAATGTGATACTGCTTCCTTGAAATGTCCAAGTATCTTTTCATGGCAACCTTATAATAATGAAGGTTAAGGGAATAGCTTAAAGATCAGGTAAAAGGTGTTAGAAATAAAATATGTAATTCTAGCAGTTAAGAGTGCTGTGTTGTGGTATAAATCTGACTTTAAACTGCAGAAAGTTGTTTGCTTCTTATATTACAAGTTGTGGCAAGCTGGGTGTATACATTACCAACCTAAGAGCTAGTACATTCTCCAATAATTGTCTTTTTTCAAAATGAATCAATTTTATTTTCAGAAAGGCAGGAAGTTGCACTGTATCTTAAACAACAATAGGCAGTTTCCAACTTGCTTTTGAGGAGTCAAAAGTGCCAGGTAGCTGCATGGGAGCACCATACAGTGGTCCATGCTGATGCAGGTTTATGTTCTATGAAATTGATTTGTTCTTGGGACTCAGGTCTTGCATACTGGCTAGCTATTAACCACCAGAAATAAATGATTTCACAGTAGGGATGTGATATATGGAGTCATAATTCGTGTCAAGAAGATGGTTGATATTAATAAAGAAGGGGGAGATGTGGGAGTGTGGCCATGGGGGTCGGCAAGCCCCGTGGTTGATGAGAACATCAGACTCTTAATGATGAGGCCATCAGGAATGTAAAGAGTTTAGAGGGAACAAAGAAGGGTGATTCAGGAGATGCCATGCAGTCTTGGTTGCTCGTTTTCCAGCTATTATGGCATGGAAGTTGCAGGGTGTTTGCTGTTGCTTGCCGGGCAAAGTTGTTTGACCAGTGAAAAGTTGTTTTGAAAAGAACTGCTGTGGAGATGAGGGTGTAAGAGGGGAGCCTGTCCTCGGGATAAAAAGGCAACACAATATAATGAAGTTATGTCATCAATAAAGAAGCAGAAAGAAGGAATGAAAAGGAACAGGCTAGCAGAACAGGGACCAGGACAGGAACAGGCACGTTGATCGCCTCATGAAGATAGGGGTCGGGCAGACTCAGCAAACTGCTCAGAGAAGCTTGTACAGAAAGTCACTGGAAATGGCACACTGGAGCTGGAGAGAAGCTCAAGTTGAGAGTAGCGGACCCGCGCACACAGCTGCCCCTTGCTGGTAAGCAGTTGCGCATTATGGGCAATCATACGTCCTTAGGAACAAAGACTGTCCCGGTAACCTTAGAGCTTATTCTCCTTATTAACAATCGGACAGTTTATGAGCCTGAAATATGGGACCAAACTGAGGTCAAGGTGTGGAACTCTGCAACTAAAAATGACAAGGTCGCAGTGGGATTGCTCGGCACCTGGCGAGCAATCTCTGGGGCCTTAAAGAGCCCTGTGGGACCACAGTCAGAAATGTGTGGTTTGCCAGACAGTGAGGGAACTGCGGGCTCATTTACTGATCCGACTACTATGCCATCGGCCCATCTGCTGCTACAGCCATCAAAGGCTTTTGCTGTTATGCCCCCTGGTGACTTAGACGTGCCTTTTTACTCAGGCCCTATTGGCCTTGAATAGGAGATGGATATGCTGTTCTTCGATCCAGGAAGAATGGGATACATGCGTCCCAAAGACCAGTTGCTTGATAACTTAAAGTGAGACATATTGTTCCCACGACTAGCCCTGGAATTCTCCGGTGTTTGTAATCAAGAAAAGGAATGGAAAATGGAGACTGATAAGTCATGGAATATATGGGAGTACTTCAACCAGGCCGACTATGCTCCCCCAGTTATGGACATTAATAGTAATAGACTTACTTAAAGGATTGTTTGTTCTGATTGCACATATGTATAGGTGTACGTAAAAGCAATGTTCTGTATATTTAGAATGTTCAGTGTTTGTGTGTGTTGGTAGAGCATGGACTCCCCGTGCACCCAGTGCTGTTTACTTGTCTTTTATAAATATTACTAAATTCAGATTGAATTGAGACTTCATTTGTAACAGGGACAATATTTCAACCAGGAAATTTAGTAAAACAGTTTCCTAAATGCAATATTGGAAGAAAAATGATGCCAGTATGCTTACATCTTGGGTATGAAAGAATGTTGTTTGATACAGAAAACTTTATATGTAAACCACTTATTTATAGTAGATAGTGCATAGAAGATGGAGACTGATCTCTGAATGATGATGTGCCTTACCTCCCAAATGGAGAGCTTTTGTGTGATGTGCTGATGTGTAAGTTTTAACCAACTTCAGGAGAATATCAGGAGAAGAATACTTAGTAATACAAGAATCCTGCATAAAATCCTATGTAAGACTACTACATACTTAGTAATACAAGAATCCTATAAAAACCTAGGGGTGGAAGTTATTTGAGGATAAAATCCACTAGTCATTAGTCAGTAGCAATCAAATATATAATCTGAGCTGTGTGCTTCTGGAGGATGGAAGGCAAACTAGATTAATAATAAGCATAACCTGAAACTGTAAGTATAGTGAATTATTGCCCTGGTGGGTTCGAAGCCTTTTTCTAACAGTGGTAGGTTAATGTGATTGAAAAGAAAGTTCATGATCTTAAGATGAACTTAAGATGAATTTACCAAGCAGTCTGAACAGGAATTGTTGTTGATTCTCAGTCTTTTTTTTTTGGTTTGGTTTTGTTTTTTGATAATGTGGTCTGTGCTATATTCATCACTGCAGTAACAGTCCCATGTTTCTCCCAGACTTTCTGCTTCCTTTTAGAGCTGTGCATGATGTCAGGTGTGTTACGAGGTTTTAGCCTGCTCCTCAGCATGAGGCATGGGATTAGCTGGAGCTAGGGTAGAGGCACTGAGCTTTGAACCTGTGGTCACACCTGACATGAATTGAGGTGTTCTACAGTGTGAGTACTATGGAGGAGGGCTTTAACATGGGTGTGTAATGACTTATTCCTAAAACTAGTTCCTATTAAAACTGTGTGGCTTTTGTTTGAACAGTTAGTTCAAATAGTTATTTTCTGTTATTCAGCAGGGTTGCTTCAGTTCTTTTTATGATTAAGATAAGTCAGAAGAACCTCTAAAACTTCAGCTTCTAACAGATCTGATTTTTTTTTTTTTTTTTTTCTTCACAGAAGTAGTTTAAAAATGTCTCAAATTTCATTTGCCTAAACATTTTGGTTTTGAAGTAATGATGTAACAATTTCAGCTTCTTTTGGAAATGACGTTCAAACTGAGATGTATATGTCAAATTTCAGCCTTAAGAGTATCCCAACTGGCAAAACTGTAAGAGCTGAAGGAAAATAGCTGTATTTCTGTAATGGAAATACCAACTCAACCTTAACGGTTTGTGACATGGATATATTAATGGATTTATAATTCATACGAGTTTAGAGAAGCTTATCTGTAGCTACTTTATATTCAGAAGTTTAACAAAATTGTTTTTTTCTATCAGATGAGCAGTTGGTTCAGAATATGCATTCCTTAACTGGTGATTTCAGAGCCAAGTTCATTAAAGGAAAATACACAGTCTGTATCTTTGAGATTTATGTTGTTTGTTCTTTTTTCTCTTAGGAAGCCTGACAAATAGGAAAAATACTACAAAGTGAAGAGAAAAATCATTTCACAAGAACTGAGCTCTGCTTTCATTGCTAAATTTTATTTGTATTACTAGCTGATTAGCGTCAAATAATCCCTGTAGTCTGCTGTGGTAAAATTATTAGGTTAAAGCTGGAAAAAATGAAACAATTAAAAAGAAAAAGAAAAAGTAATTTTAGTGTTCAGGAAACTCAAACTCTCCTTAAGGAAATCAGAAAAAGGAGAGAAGTACTCTTTTCAAAACAACTTAATACAACAATTAATGAGATGAAACGGAAGGCTTGGGAGGAAATAGCAGAGTGTGTAAACGCTGTAGGTGAAGGAGAACAGAGAACGGGGACAGAAGTGAAAAGGAGGTATCTTGACTGGAGAGCACTCATGAAGAGAAAGCGCCTGAATGCAAACATCAAGATGGTAGGTGCTGGGTTTCATCTTCCTTCATCTGATCTAGATGACTCTCTCAATGAAGATATGGATGACAAAATGGGATTTGCAAACGAATCTAGTTTTGAATGGCAGAATATCACCGACTTCAGAGAAGCAGGTGGATCTTTAACAGAAATCAAAGTAGAAGAAGAAGAGGAAGACCCACAAAATTTTGAGGTAAGTGACTGGCTTGCATTACCTATATGCAATATGACCCCCTTTTCACTTCAGCGTGGGACATTTTGCTGTGTTTTTTTCATAGCATCTCTTTCTGTCTTGTCTGAATGTGTGAATTAAAGAAATTGTAGAAGCAGGTATGTTTCAGAAAGATGATATTTACATCTAGCAACTTGCAGCGCTATGTAAGGTTGATATTCCTTGATACAAGTATGTATTTGTACGTTTTCCATTTCTGTGTGTCATAGATAGGAATTATTCCAGTCAGTAGAAAGCAAATACACTCTTGAAGGAAACTGGTTATTTTAATAAATTAAGTTATTGGAATGGATGAAGGGAGAAGAGAAACGCACCTCTTTAACAAATGAAGTATACATTGCCTGGAGGCACGATTGCATAGTGTTTGCATTTCTTAAAGTGGACCCATGGGAGTTGAACATGTTACTTGAATAAATCAATCGGCCATTCCTCTGTCAGAACTGTAGCATGAATTACATCAAGCAGCTGTGAGTCCTGTGGCCTGGTTTCTGCTCTTAGTAGCACCATGGCTGTCCTGTCTGGGATAGGCAGCCAGCGAGACTGAAATTAAATATTTGTCTGCCTGTACAAAGCAGTAGTTTGTTCTGCTTGTACAAGTGTGTAGTGATAATTTAAAAAAAAGGGATACTTCTTTAGATTGGGAACATCTGAGTCTAAACTCCAATGGGATATGTGCTGCCAAAAATCACAAGAAACTGCTAAATGGTAGGGGAACTGCTGCCTGGCAGCTGTTGAAAGGTGTCTGTCTTCTCTAATACTTAAAGAGTGGCAGTGGCTCTCATTGTCTTGTTTTCTGAACCCATAACTTGTTCAGTTTGCCTTCCATTTGCAGTATACAAATGGGTCACAGTGATCCCTTGTGTACTATGCATGTGTAGCACATAACTCCTGCAGAATTACAGCCTTTATGCTCCACGAAGAACAGCGGTGCTAACCCCCTCATCATCCGCATCATAAGTGTTTTTCCAGCAAACACGACAACATAAACTTGGTTGAACAAGCCCTGTTTATTGACCTGCTTAATGCAGTTTGATGGGTTAGGAGCATGTGAAAAATGTCAGATGGTTTTAAATACTGTACAGTGTTAAATGTTTTTAGAAATTAAATCCTTGTGTTAATGAGGGCTGTGTTAGCTTATATACCACGTAGTTCGTGGATCCAGCTGCTCTGATAGATAATTAGTCACAACAAATTCCCAGTGGCTTAAGTAAATGTCACTGAGCTATATGAAAAGTAAGAACAACATAGGCTTTCTAGATCCAGTTTTCTTTTCTGTCAGTGGTTCTGAATACTCTAATATCTCTCATGCAGTGTTTCCTATGCTGCTCTTGCATGTCCACAGACAAATTGATTTTCCATTTTTCATGGCTAAGTATTAATTTATAGATCAAGTGTGTTTCTCTACCTGTGTAAATGGGGAAAAAAAAATATATATATTTTTTGATCTAACGTGGTTATTTTGTAGAATCTAAGTTAAATATTTCTGGAGTATTTTTAAGGTGGAGAGAGAGACAGAGATCAGGGTGACAAAGCACTGGCTCAGGTTGTCCAGAGAGATTGTGGAGTCTCCTTCTCTAGAGATACTCAGAACCCTTCTGGATGTCATCCTGTGCAGCGTGCTCTAGGTGATCCTGCTTTGCAGGTCAATTGGACCAGATGATATCCAGAGGTCCCTTCCAACCTCAACCATTCTGAGATTCTGTGAAAAATACAGTATCTGTTATTTTCAATGAAGTTGTATGCCACGTTATTCTAGCATAGAAACTGAAATGTAATTCTTGCGTATTGCATTCCTCTCCACAGTTTCCTATTGAGGAAGAAGAAGAAATTTTGTCATCAGTTTTGCCTGATTCGAAAAAAGAAAATGACCTACCAGATTTCAGCCACATTGAAGAGTTTGGAAATCTGAGCTCTGCTCAAGCTAGGTTAGCCTATGAAGATTCTCACTTGCTTATAAATCTGGAGAAGCAGAAGGTGGAGCTGGAGAAGCAGCGACTAGACATAGAAGCTGAAAGATTGCAAGTGGAGAAGGAGCGCCTGCAAATTGAAAAAGAACGTTTGCGGCATGTTGACTTGGAGCATGAGAGACTTCAGCTTGAGAAGGAGCGACTTCAGATCGAGCGGGAGAAACTGAGGTTAGAGACTCTGCATGCTGAAAAACCTGCCCTGGAAAATGACCTGACCCAAACAGAAAAGCCTGTTGTGCAGCCTCTGGATCTAGAAACTGAAAAGTTAAAACTTGAGAAAGAACGTTTGCAGTTAGAGAAAGAGAGGCTGCAGTTCTTAAAATTTGAGTCAGAGAAGCTGCAGATTGAGAAGGAACGCTTGCAAGTGGAAAAAGAACGTCTGCGAATTCAGAGAGAGGGTCACCTGCAGTGAACTTCTCAACTGAGGAGTCAGTACTAGCAATTTGATGTTTGTAAAATAAAGGTAGTTCTTTTCCTAATATTGAAACTGTCCTAGAGGTTTAATGTTATAATGTTATTCAGTTCAGAGTTGAATGTTGATGTTAAACTTAAAAAAGAAAAAAAAAAAAAAAAAAGATGGGGGGGAAAAAAAGAATGGTGCTCAATAAGTCAGTGTGCCTACATAAATAAGCTTATGTGTGAAGTTGCATTTCCGTGTATGAAAACTAAATGTTATGTTCTCTTGTCTTCAGTATTGTGTTGTATTAGTTTGGTGTCCTTGTTTCGCAGACACAATTGAGAAGATTAACTGTTGTACTTTTTTTTTCTTTTAATGCAGTAACAGTAAGGGAGCATCAGAATAAATCAGCATATGTTCTGAAGGCATGGTGCTGAAGATAGCCCACACAGTAAATAGGTATAAGTAGGCAGAACGTAACACAGAGTCATGTGACTGATTCATTAAATTTGATTTCCTCTTTTTGTTTTTCTCTATTCCCACAGCTGAAAGAGGAGTTCAGCAATTGTCTAAAAGTTAAAGAAGTATAGGCTAAATCCACTACAGTGGTGTTCACTGTTGTTTCATGACCTGAACTGAATGGGAGTGTGGAAAATAGTATTATTCCTTTTTACATAAAGTATTCATATCAGATACAGTTACACATAACCATAGTTACTGTAAGCTGGACTGTGGGCCTGTCAAGTTGTTAATAATGCTGCATGGAGCATCCTACACCTGGATTAGCAGCACAGGGGCTTAGTAGCAGGATGTAACTGTTGTCTGGTCAGTCCCCTAAAGTAAAGCAACTAGACCTGGCTTGTTCCTTCAAAGAGATTAACTGACATTGGGAAGCCTGTGAGTGGAGGCTGAACACAGGTTAAGGACTGCTGAGCTTGAACACTAAAACTTTTGATACCTCAGTGCTGCCCAGGCAGAACTGGTCATGTCTGTGAAACAGCTTGAAGAGCCTTCTATGGCTGATGCCATTTAGCATGTTTTAGTTAGGCAAACAGAAATGGTCAGTACTGATGGCTGTCACTATTTTTCCATGTACAAGGTATTAATTTAAAAGAAAAAAACAGGATTTCTGTTATTTCATATATGTATTTGTAAATCACAGCTGAGCCAGACTTCAGATCACTCATCTTTCTGTGAGCAACTATCTTTTTTGACTCCATTTGACACTTAGGAGTATGGGAATACTAAATCTGAATATACATGGAGTGACTTACGTGGATTCGTGTGCAAGTAAATATATTTATACCACTACAGGATTACTTTTATTCTGCAAAGAAAATGTTATTTTTTTATTACTGAAACAAGTGTGCTTCTACAGTGAAAATAAATTTGACTACTACAACCCAAAATCACTCTTGAGAGTTTCTTTACAGCAGTATATGAAGAGAAAGATGGATACTAATATTGCAATACCCCAAAGTTGCTGGTGCCTGTAAGTGGAAGAGACGGGGCATCTCTGAGTAGGACTCAAACCAAGCAGCACTTAATTGAGAAAGGAAAAAGGAAGGAGACACAAACCAGCTCGATAGGAATGCCTCAGGGAGAGAAGTATCTGAAATTGTTCTTTGTGAAATGAAGTGAGGACTTCTCATCTCCCTGATGTGTCAAAAAAAATTATATTAAATTGTTTTCTGTGGTCATCTGTCAAAGTTTTTCTCTCAATATGAAGAAATGACTTATCTTCTTTCAAAGCACAGGAGAGGCAGAATTAAGAAAATCTGGGGGGTTGCTTAGTGCGTAGAATGTTTACCCAGGTAGTGGGATAACTTGGATTTCATGATGGCTGTGTCCTAAGGTGACCAACTTCCTTTCTCTGCCAAACTGAGGAATGAGGGGCAAGGCAGCCACCAGTGCATGAGGTGGGGGCCCGATGGATTAAGCTGGGACAGAGAATGCTTCTGTGGGCTGGTCTATGAGAGGCACTCAGCCAGAGAGGAGCAGATGTGGAATCTGGCTCATGTTGGGAGGGAGTTATTACTGTTGCTCAGTACCAGCGCTGCCGTCTTCACATTTTACTCCAGTTGAACGACTTAACCATTAAAATAATGGTTTGTATTTTACATCGGACATCTTGTAAATCATGCCTTAAGAGCATTTTTCCTTTTTTTTTTTTTTTTTTTTGGGGGGGGGAGGAAGTTGAGATAAATCTGAATGATTATTTTTTCATTTCATAAATTCGAACGCTTCTCCAAATGTGAATAGAGCAGTATGTAAGCGATTATGTCCTCCCAACAACTGTCTATTCAGCCTCCTAGGGAAATGATGGATCCTTTGGTTATACAGAACCTTTTGGAAAATACTGAATGATGAAATTAAGTATCGTCATAAATCATTGAAAATACTGTTTCAACAAAAAATGCAGAGCAAATTACAGAGTTTAATGCAACGATTTTCTAGCCTGCTTTTTTTTTTCATACCAAAATTGCAGTCATTTTGTAATTTTAATTTAAATGTCTTATTTTCAAATACTAATCTGCAATCTCTTAAAACTTAATTGCCTCATTTACCAACTTGGGCTCTTGACAGCAAAACCTAAGGGCAAGGTTTAGACCACATAAATGTCACCGAGGTCAAGACATACACATGAACTCAGTTCCTATGCTAGATAAATTTGGACTCCCGCTTACAAGAAGAGCCTGTGATTATAAGTAATCTGAGTGACATTCCCAGACTGGGAACGACTTTAAGATGAGGGAAACAACCTGCATACTGAGGAAAAGGCAAGTATTGGGGTGGGGAGGGAAGGAGAGGGGTTTTCACAATACACTTTGGAGACAAACTGACTAATGCTTAACAGTATTATAAAATAAAACGGAGAAGCTCACACACAGGGCAAAGTCGTAAATGTGATCCCCAAGAAAAGCCCAGCAGCCAGTCTCCGAGTGGGGATCCCTGTGAGAGCATGGTAGGATTCAAAGTCAGCTTCATGTCCTTTAGTAGGCTGCCCCACATTGTCTCCAGGACATTTTGAGCAATTTCACTGGGCATGAAAGATGGTGCAAGCAATACTTGCACAAAGTATAAAATATTTATTAAGACAAAAGATGATTCAAATTTAATAAACAGTCAGACTAAGCATTATCATCCTTGTTACCCCAAGGAGACTTTGCTAGCTCAGAGAGGAAAGGTCGTCCTCCAGGGCTCCCTGGAGATCTCTGATAGTGCTGAGTTGCTGCTTTCCAACTTGTTTGTTTGGCCATTTATTTTATTTTGGGCTTTCTTAATCATTCCATGGTGGTAGGTTTTTTGTCCCTTAAATCTTCAAATTGCTGCTGATGCTATCTTAACAATCCTACCTCTGTGTATTTTTTTCCCTTATCTTGTTTGACTCTTCTCTACAAACTTCCTGAGATTTCTCTCAACTTTGCAGTTTTCTCGTCAGTGTGAGCTGAGGGTAGGCAGCTGTGCTGAGCCATGGATTAAAGACCTGACACGAGGCTGCATGTCTACCAGAAAGTTGATCTGATAACAGCCAGAGGAGGTCCAATCTCCCTGATAACTGTCCTTGAGGTCTTGCAGAGCTGAGCTCCTGTCAGACCAACCTGTGGTGCACAGAGCAGTTCTCCAGCACCGACTAGTGGAGTTAGGAGCAATGTGACTGCTTAATGGTGTCACTGTCACTGCTGCTGCAGTGCCATTTCAAAGTGTAGCTGAATTACATTCATACTATGTCCCCCCCAGAAAACAAACAAACAGACAAACAAAACGTAAATCTTTCAGACAAAATCCTCCTCTCCAAGTCTGGAAAGGGGCTGATAAATCACATTGGTCACTGGAGCAGGTATCAGGCCCCAGGCAGAGCTGAGATAGGGTCCTGGCCATGGACAGGGAGGGGGGAGGCCCAGTAAGGCCTGGTGGTGCCCTCAGGACCCTGACAGCACCTCACAGCACGCTCTAGCAATTGTAGTAGCATGCTGGATGCCCTTCTTGTAACACTGGTTGACTCCCATTGGAAATGATAGTCAGTCCCAGGATCAGTTGTCAATAACACACCACACTGTAAATTTTTGCCTATGGTGTTCAAATAGCATCTCATACTGCAAGTTCTGGTCCGGCACTTGACTTTTTGCTCATGTTTTCCATCACTTGCGCTAGTGCACTGTCTAAATGTTGGGATCTTCAGGACAATGTTCCTTCCGAGAGGCTAAAACTCCTGGACAAGCAGCCCCTCTGGTGGCAAGTGCATGTCAGGGGAGTTTAACCTCCCTCACCTATCCATCCCTCAGCATCAGCTAGTAGACTGAGAGCAGCAGCAGCAGCTACAAGCTCCTACAAAGCTGTGTGTCACTGGAAGTCTAAATCCCTGCATCACTCAGGCACTGCTGAAGTTTGACACTGACATTAAGATAAAATGTAAATGGACCAGGTTCTTGCACATGTTGGCTGGTTTATTTTGCACCAGTGACTCAGAATGTTTGTAGCTGGTTTCATGACTACTAAAAGATTTTAATACAGGCTTAAAAATTTTATTGCATTTTAAAATAAATATCCAACCTATTTTTTCCAGATAGTCAACTCATTTGAAGAAACAGGTTCAAGGCAATAAGAGGGGGATGGCAGGGGAAGAACACTTTCAGTACTGACATGGGGCAACTTCATCATTTCCTCTTTTTTTTTTTTTTTTTTTTGTGGGGAGGCTAATTTATAGCAAAATGATGATTTTTCAAACCACTAGTTATGCCACCGGAGCTTTTGCCTCAGTGTCACTCTGTGATCTGGCCATTTGTCACTCACACAGCATGAAATTGGAGTTTGGGGAGGGAACACTGGGTGCTCACTCCTGGTCTCATCATTTTTTCTTCCTGGTCTCTTAAAGCAGGATGTCCTGGTTCTGGGTCATGGTTATCATGCCAATGAATACACCAGTTCTCAGACATCAGAAAGTGTCAAAACAAATCAAAAAAACAAAGGTTCACTGACACAAGACAAGAAGAAGCCCTTTTCATGCACTACACATAATCCTTTTAAACCTGACCTACTTTAAAGGACACTTTATCCCCTCCTTTTACAGTTTATTAAGAATACCATTGTTATTTTCTGTTACAGTTTTACTGTTTTTAATTTCCCTACTTCACACTATCAGTAGTTTTATACTACACATTAGCAGACCGTGGAATACCTTGCCTTGTTACTTCCATATTTTCTAATTGCAACACTCCATCATTAGTCAACTGGTTCATAATGTGGAAGGCAAAGTTGCTATTTCATTTCATGCTATATAATGCAATGCTTCTGGTTCAGTAATTACATTGTGCCAGGCCTGTGATCAATCCTGAGATAGCTCACTCTTGATGGATAGCCCCATCACGGAGTGTATAAGAGTTAAAGGAAGAAGCAAATTTTTAATTTTGCTCCTCTGTCAATTTACCTACTTGAACACTGCTTTTCAGACTGATATTTATCTCACTGAGATAGGAAGAGATTAGAGAAATGAGAACTTAAAGGAGAGAAGTGAAGTTTGAAAAGCATTTTCTAAAGTTTTGGTTTGCAAAACAGGAAAGATATAAATTAGACATTTTTCCACAGAAACCTATTGTGCATTACTCTGTTAATGGAGTGCAGATCTTTTAGTCACCCATTCAATGTGCTGGAGAAAACCATTACCTGCTTTTCATAACTATTCCAAGGATTATGTGAAATGAGCTGATGGTCTTACTACTACTACTGTTCCATACCAGGCCTGTGAAATATATATATTTCCAAATGTTTTCTGCTTTGTCACAGGAGTGTTCATGAATCAAGGACTTTTCTGAAGTGGCAACAAGCTTTCAAAGAGTCGTAAGATATGGGAAGTGCCTCTCCCTAACAAGGGAAGAATTGCAAGTACAGGCTGCAAGAAGTGTAATGGGGTTGGAAGAACAGCCAGAAACACCTTGCTAAAAGAATAACAGTGGGAAGGGCTGTAACCCTCATGATCAAATGACACCCTAGTGCCCTGAGGTAAAGTTTTATCCTAATAGGGTGGATTTACACTTTTCCTGAAGTATCTTCTAGGAACAGATTTCAGGGACAAAATTTCTGGCCAGACACGCTGTTGCTTTGCTTCAGTGAAGTGACATTCATGTTCTTATGTATCTTAATAGAACTGTATGATTTGATGACAAAAACTGTGGATGAGATGTTCTTATTTCTGTAATAAAATTATGTTATTCTCGTTGCTGTTTGACTTTTGCACAGGTCTGCACCTCAGGCTTTTCAGTCTCGCCTCCTACCTGCCATACTTTCAGTATCTCATCCTTCTGCCAAGAACTAGCAATGAGAGCCCCCAACTCAGAAATGACAGAGTTAAAAATGCTGCAGAAACTGCAAGATCAGGTACCCTGAAGAAGGTTTGTTCATCTGACTGTGC